CAGAGCAGCCTCAAGAACAATGCCTATCTTGTTTTGTTTCCTCCCCTGGCATTTCTGTCCCCATGGCTGGCTCAGCAGGAGGCCACGGACTGGCTGCGTAGCACCAGGGCACTGCTGTGCCCCAGGCACATTGCTCTGTGCACACATGGAGCATCCCATCATGCTGACACACGTGGCACTGCAGCCATCCTGCCCAGCACTGCAGCCTTGCCAGGACCCCAGCAGGTTCCTTGGCACAGAGTCCCCTGAGCCCCAGGGAATTGTCTGCCCCAGGAGGTGGTGGAGTTACCATCCCTGGATGTGTTTAAAAAAGGACTGGATGTGGCACTCAGTGCCATGGTTTAGTTAAGGTGTTAGGAGACAGGTTGGACTCAATGATCTTGAGGGTCTCTTCCAACCTAGTGATTCTGTGAAAGGGTTGGATCACAGGCTGATTTTGGTAAATCAGACATAAAGAATAATATGAATAAGAATATTAATAATTAAGAGTGCTAATAATTTACAAAGATCTAATCTGGTCCTCGGGAACTTTCCCTGTGCCAGGGAGAGTTGTGCTCCACCATTACCAGGTGGCAGCCTTTCTGTAAAGGCTGTGCTTTGCTCTCCAGTTCCTCACAAGGTGGCCTTGCCATGAAAGCAATCTTTGTGAGGAGCCATTAGTGACTGACCTGTGATGCTTCACCTGGATCCAATCCACTGCATTTTCCCAATTAGCTAGTGAGGTTTCTCAGGCAGGTGGAAGATCTCCTCCCACTAGATCAGAACTCTGCTGCAGCACCAGACTGCTGTGGAATACAGTGGCCTAATTAAGGCAATGTTAATGAGCAGCAGGAGCACATGGATGTGAAATCTCGTTGGAGTGGAACAGAAGTTGTTGATTCTGGTTACATAGTGTCTGGGAATCAGCTGCAAATTTCACAGCCATTTAATTTGCACCTGTTCTCAGATGAAAGAACAGGGCCTTTTGACTGGATTTCAGTGGCCTGCATCTTTGAGCAGGCTTTGGCCCAGTGCTCTGCAAGTTATAGGTGCCATGTGTGCCTCTGCATGTCCTGCACTCCCATTTCTTGAAGAAAAAAAATCACAGCAGGCATGCCAGCAGTTATGGGGCAACGTGGAATGCCAGAGCCTCCCAATGTAGTAGCAAAGCCCACCTACTGGTTTGTGACCAGATGTGTGCTCTCCCTTAAGCAGGGTTGGAAAAAGCCTGTAAGTGGATATAAGATGTATTTCTTTCACAGTGACAGGTGATGGGGAAGAGGTCACAATCCTTGGTCATCTCATTTCAGGAAGAAGGGGAGATCAGAGATCATCCCTTGGAGGCAAACACCCAGGATCCAGCTCCTTGATCAGGCAGAGCCTTCAGGAAGAAGTTACTGCCTAGATGTCAGAAGGTGAAACACGTACTAGGTTAAAATTCCTGGGAACAGACCTGGCAGCAGGGAAGCATATCCAGCCCAGCTTCTAAGAAAATTGCGTGCCATGTGTCCCAGCCTGCAGCAGAGCTGGGCCCGTGCCCTACTTTGCTGTGGAGGTTGGCCAAGAAGAGATCTGCTCTCAGAACCTCGCAGGGCAGACACATCGTCAGAGCAGCAGCTCCCGGGCCAGGATCACCCTGAGTGTGGCTGTGCCTCTCACATCCTCTCCAGCAACAAGGAGAGCACACAGACCTGTGTGTGCATATCCACCGAGCTGCTTTCCCTGCTAAGGAATCCTGCTGGCAGCAGCTCCTTTGCGCCTTTCTTACAGCCTGCAGCTGCTTTAGCGGGCCAAACCTGGTGCCGCCTGGCTGGGGTGACACAAAGACGCTAATTTACTCAGGCTGACAATCATGAACTTCTGGTATTGCCAAGATGAAATAAAGGCAATCAAAGCCCCACTTTGCTGTGCCTGTGAGCCAGGAAGAGCAGCGCTGAGGTCTGAGCTCTGTTTTTGCTGCGGGAGAGCAGGGCCGGCCTCGCCGGGGCAGGGCGGAGAGCCGAGAGCTGCCGGCTGTGCCTGAGCTGTGACAGATCCCAGCTCCATCCCGGGGCTCCGCCGGGACTGCAGCGGGAAAGGAACCTGGGACTGCAGCGGGGCACGGCGGGGATGTTGTGCCTGCAGCCGGGAATGCCCGGGACGCTGGCACTGCAGAGATGCTGTGCCCATAGCCGGCAATGCCCGGGACGCTGGCACTGCAGGCGGGAATGCCCGGGATGCTGTACCGGACCGGACGCAGCCGCTGTCCCCCAGCTCCGGGCCGGGCCGGGCCGGCGCCACCTGGCGGCCCCGGGAGCGGCGGTGGTTCCGAGGGGCCGTCGGGGACGGAGGCTTTCCAACCCCCTCAAAAACGCCCGTGGTCTCCCTGGTGTTGTCAGGCCGTGCTGTGGAGGTCGGCAGTGAGAGCCACCCGTGCCACCCCCTTCTCTGCAGCCCTCAGAGTGCGCGATTCCCCCATTCCTTTCCAAGTCTCAGCTACGGAGTGTTTTCCAGTCCATTTCTAGTGCTCTCCTATCTTCTGGCTTCTGTAGGGATGCGGGGCCAAGGCTGCAGATGAGGCATGACACCAAGTCTGTGGTGATGAGACTCCAGCAGAGAGGGAAGGGCTGAGCAGGATCAGACCAATCCCTTCCCACAGCCAGAATTGAGGGTTAGGATGCCTGGGCTGTCCCTTTCCAGTCACTCTTCTGCTGGGCCAGAGGCAATGGCAAGGAATGTCGCACACTCCTCTCCCTCAGATACAGTAGAAAGTATTTGCCAAAAAAGTCTTATTAATAAATATAAAAGAGTCACAAAACCTAAATTCACAATGCTAGATGGCATGAAATATTAGTGTCACATTCCTTTCAAGCACATTCAGGATTTGGAGTACACAAGGGTTCTGCCTACCTTTCTTTTCTCAGAATGCGTAACTTCTCTATAGAACTTACCTGTTCTCCATTAATGGAGCCCAAAGCTGCTGCTGGTCAACACAAACATGGAATTTCCAATAGAAATGTCACCAAAGAGCAAAATGGGGTTTCCTGAAAAGGCTGGGTTGGCTACATGATGCCCATCGTGACCAAATAGCGCCGCAACAGCTTTACAAATCCTGTATGTAGCTGTCCTGAAAAGGAGCACTGGTTTTGTGCTGCTTTACTGTAGACTGCTTCTGTGGAGGAAGCCAGCAGCATTTTCCTGGTGCCACTTCCAGTGTCTGAGAACGAGGAGCTGGACAGAAGCTGGACACATGGACAGATGTCCAGGGGAAAGAGACAGAAAACTAAAGCCAAAAAGGAGTTAGTTGTGTCTCTGACATTAACACTTGTAGGACCAGGTCTGCAGAATACATGTCAGACTGCTCTTACCCCTGATCTGAACATAAAAAGCTTACATTAGATACATTAGAACCATTTACTTTCCCTTTTTCTTACATTATATTAAAATGAAGTTTTTATATGACTTGGGAAGATCTGTAACTTTTTGGTCACTGGGATTGGACGGGACCCAGTCATCTGCTCAGAAAGCATGTCTCAGGTTCAGTGTTGTAGAAGTCACAGAGACTTCAAAACTGTACAAATCAGAATAAAATTACCCTTCATGCAGCGGCACACAAAAGCAAACAGACTTTGCCATTGAATGCTTCAGCAGCAGCACTGGATGCCCAGCTCAGGCTTTGGAAATCATGGTCCACTGGTGACCTCCAACAAAATATCTTCTTGTCCCATGCTGTGTTTTTCTCATCTTTCAATACAATCCTCTGTAAAGCACATTTATAGTGCATGCACTGTGAAGTATTTTAGCAATGCCACACTTGTCATTGTGACAGCTGACCCAGGTGAAACACAAGAGGGTTTACACCCAGGATTTTGTTTCCTATTGCTCTGAAGATGCCTCCCTGGTGTTCCCAGAGGAGCATCCTCCTCCACAGCAGTAACCCTGTTGGGTTTTCTGCCCCACAATCCCTCTATCCATCAGCACAGATGTCCTCAGTAACCTCCTGGTGGTAGCTGCAGTCACTGGTGTGCAGCAGCAATCTAAGGGAGAGTGAGCAAAGGAACCAATTGTTTGAAACAGGGTGGAAAGTTGCATATAATGGGTTACATAGTAGGTGACCTGCTTTAAACCACCTTTTAGTGCATCTGCTTCTCTTCAGTGACTTTACACAGACTTTACATGTTAGGTGAACTGAATTATGCCCAAGGCATGTTTAGGCATCTACAGCAGATAATGCAAGTATGTCAAAATCAGATGCCATTGTCTCACAATCTGGCAGTCTATGCAGAGCTTTGTGAAATGACTTCTACATGTATCTCTGAGTATCATTGTACTCAATTTGTAAAATAGTCAGCACATCAGCAGGAATAAATCAGCATCCCCACCGAAGTCCAAAGTAGCCTCTTGCAACAAGCCATTGTGCTTCAGGTTGCAATGTTTCCCCCATTATCTTCTAAACTCAGTTACTCCCTGCCAGCTCCTCCCAGAGACCTTGCTCCCACCAGTCTGCTGGAGCTCATCCAGCTGCCCGTGCCTGCTGTGGGAAGGGACACACACCAGGCTCCAGCTTCAACAGAGCAGCACAAGTCTCTTCCACAGCTCCTCTGGATTTTTGGAAAGGGATGTTTCCAAATGCTGTCAGCACCAGCCCTTCAGTGCTGTTACTTCAGCTGGCCTTTGATGAATGCTGGTGAGCTAGACAGAGAGCAAGGCCCCTGGGAACACAAATGGAATGCCAGCACCACCCACTGCCAGTAAGGGAATGCCTGACACACACTCAGTGCCAGGGGAAAGCTCTGTGACTCTGCCCTGAGACAGCTGTCTGTCATAACAAACACCACCTCCTTCCCTTGCTCTGCTCCTCTTTCCAAACTAAATAGGAAGGGAATTACCTCACACCCCCTCAAAAAAAAGGCTTGGTCTTGTTCAAATAGAAACGTGGGTTGCCTGGGCTGGCTCCAACACTAAATTAACAATTAAATCCAATTAACAGTTAAATCCAATTAACAGAAGAACACAGCTGAAATAAACACATGAGAAGTTGCTTATTTTCTAAATAAGACTAAATTTATTCATAACCCTAGTAAAAACAAAGTTTGGATTACAAGTGTCTGAACAGTATAAAAGTACAAAACAGGTTCCATAGATTTCTAATACATTAATACAAAGTGCATGACTACTCATTTTGCATTACTACTGGGAATGGAAGAGGTGGGAGGGAGTAGGGGAAGCAGTTGGCGGTTGAAATCCAGCAATAAATAAATAAATACAGAAGAGATGATCCGTATCAGAGCACATCCTACCACCAACACTGCAGCCTTCTGAGGTGTACAGAATTACTGATGCTGAAAACACAAATTCACATGAAATAGGTGTCTGCAAACACAGCGAGGACTCTTGCTCAAGCCCTTATTAGACATGACCAACCTAGTTATGCCTTTATACAATCAAGTATCCATTGTAGCTATGGCTGGACTCAATGGGCTTCAGTCTTTTCCAACCCGAACGATTCTATTTGGTTGAGAATAACAGCAAGGTAAGCAGCTTTGTCCTCCCTTAAGAGCCCCAGAGTTTAAGAAAAGCAAAATGAGTCCAAGGAAAGCTCTAAGGTGTAAGGCTGTGATAAGTCAAAGCCCTGTTTCCCCTGATTTTCTTTCTCTCCAGAGATTGGCTGACCCAACAGGAGAGGAAAAAAGAAAGAAAAAAAAAAAGCTTTGAGGGTAGAGGCTCCTCTTAAAACCTGCATATCTTTCCCTATCTATATTTTAATTTGCTAAGTATTCCCATTTCAGGAACCAAGACTACATGGAAATCCAGTCCTAAACCCTACCCACCACAGTATTATGCCAATGACTCTCACAAAAAAAGAAAGCTTAGAATCATAGAATATGCTGAGTTGAAGGACCCATCAGGACCAACTCCAGCTCCTGGCCCTACTCAGGACACCACAAGAATCACACCATGTAGCAACCCATTGTAGGATATCCCAAAAGAGAAATAGTAAAAAACAATCCTCCCTCCCTCTAAAACCAGGAAAAAACCAACCAAACAAAAAGCATAATTCCCAACTCACACAAGTAAAACCTTCATAAAAGGAACATGAAGCAACTGGGAGCTAAAACTGAAGCACAACCTTTCAGGAAGCTGCTTCCACCCTAGAGGCAAAGCAGAGTTTGAAGGAGTGTCACAACGATTTGCACACGAGCTCGTCTAGGAATCTGTGTAGATTATCTTTTGATCACATATGCAAACAGAGCTGCTGCCTTGATTCAGCACAGCACCATTCTTAGCAGGACTTTTCAGATTCAGTATTCACAAATGTGTTGACCTGGCAGTTGCTTAAACAAACAAATGGAAAAAAAAACAAAACAAAAACCAACAAAACCCAAACACAGAGAAGCACTGCAGGGGAAGGGTTTCAAAACAGTTATTGTGAATCCAAACCCCAGGCTGCAACCCGATTATGTCCCTGGACCAGAGCCTAATTTGCTTAGCAAGGGGTTTGGTTCTTTGTCAGGTCCAAAACCAGGAGGAGTCTTGTTTGTGATCACATTTCAGCTGCACTGGTCCTACAGAGAAGAGTTACTCAGTTTGGGCTGCCATCTGCACCTGACTTGGCCATCAAGGCGTTTCTTGGTCCATCTCTAACCACCAGGGGTTACTACACCAAGCTCAAGGCGCCTGCTGCTGGTTTAAAAGAAGTAACCTCCCATTTTGCTACGTTCAGTTCTTAGGTAAGTCTTAATCCTTGGCTAAGGTGGGGAGCTCTCCCACCCCTTCTCAAGAGCACTTTTATGCTGGAGGCCTTCTCAGATAGCTACACTTGAAGGAGAGGTGTCTGCAGATTACCAGTCTGTGCATATGGGAGGGATGAAATATTTGTCTTTGTTATGTCAGTAGTACAGCGTGAAATCGCCACACCTTTAAAAATATATATTTATATAACTAGAGAGGTGACTTAGAACATTTCTATGTATTAATTCATCTTATTGACTCATACATGTCTAAGAATGAAATATTTTCTTGGGAATTTAGGAAGTTTGCCAACCAACTTTTAAAGAAATAATAAAAACCAAAACCAAAAGGTTTACAACCACTGCTTCTTTCAGTACAGAAACATGAACTACATATACTTTAATATACAAACCCCATCCTCATACTCACTTGGGAAGTGAGTGTGGGGGAAAATTAGACAACCTTGCAGCAGCATTCAGCTTTGCCAAGTGTTCCATAGCATCTTAAATATTATGTACAGTCTTTCTGAAAGGATACCAACTGGCTTCAGAGTTTGTGGAATCGTAGCAGTAAAACCCAAAACAGTTCCAGGGAATAGTCTTTTGGCAGCATAGCAGGTGTCCAAAGTGAACAGTCACTTTTCTAGTATTTTTCCAGAGAATAAGAGGATCTGTATAACCTTCTGCAGCTATCCAAGGAAGTCACCACTCCTCTTGGGTGGAGATTGCTGGAGACTGGGGTCCTTCTTGTTCTGGCTTTTCAGTGGCAGACTTTTTATTGCTACAACAAGGTTTGAAGAGATGAGTGTCTATGAGGACTTCTCCAAAACGCCCTTTGTAAATAATTCCACAGCAGACCTTTTGCCTGGAAGAAATGGCAGGGAGACAGATACTTTGTTTAGAATATACAGAATTCACAAACATGCAAAAAAGCAAGTCTGATCCCAGACACTACTTTATTGAGCCTCCAGCCCAGAGGACAGGGGCAAAAAGACTGCTCACAAACAGAAAACAGGTCTGTGTCTAAATCCACAACAGCTCTTTGGGGCAAAAAAAAAAACAACAAAGAAAAAAAGAAAAAACCCAAACATGTCTATACAAAAACCAAGCCTCCAACTTTGCTTCCCAGAGAAGTTTCAGACACAACCATTTGGTCTGAACTAACCTTGGCTACAATGCACTTGCAAATATTATTTGAGAGGAGGCAGCAAAGTCACAACAATTCCAATTGAGCAATTAGCTAAACAAGGGATTACTGTGTCACAACATGCAATAAAAGATAACAAGCTCGTCAGCTCCCAGAAAACCTTGTGGTTTTCCTCCCACTCCAGCATTTTGTTGGTTTTTTTTTTTTTTTTTCCAAATGACTACCATCACAGGTCAACCAAATCAAATGCTGTGTTTGGCTGGCAAGCTGGGAGCACTCTTGTATGTAGCAACACATCATATCTACGGGGCACAGTTGTAAGAGAGAGATAATGGCAGACAGGAATATAATCTGCTATTCCCAAAACCAGCAAAAATATTTCCCAGCAACTGTTTTAATGTTTAGGGAACTGAAGGGAGATAGGGGAAAATGCCTTAAACACAAGGCATTTCTTTCCAAGCATGAACAGACAGGTGTTGTAATTATTATATCCTTATACCAGATCAGGATGAAGAGGCAGAATCAAGCAGCATGCATGCAAAGTGAGCCTGCTGCCTGCACAGAGGGCAGGTTCTGGTGCTTTTTACCTTTTCCAGTAGGTGAGATCTAGGAAGGAGAACACGGGTGTCCTGCTGGCCCCGGCGCTCAGCTCCGTGTCAGAGCCCTCGTCCGACTGGTTGCTGTAACAGGGTGACTGAGCTGGGGAGGCACTTGAAGTTGTGCTGTGAGCATCAGAGTCTGCAGGGCAAAGAGGAAATGCAACGATCAGGACATGCATCCAACAATTTACCCTCCTCCTGACCTGTGGATTGGGAGCAGAGGCGCAGAGGTGCTTTAATTAATGAGAAAACCTAGCAGTGACAACTCATTTATTTCACTTGCTCCTGCCTGTTTCAGCACAGAGAGTGTCAGGATTTGTCAAAGAGCCCTCTAAAGTGAAAGGAGTCCTTGTACATGAGGGACTGGAAAGAGGTTCAGGATCAGGCTTCAGTTTCTGGCTCTCAAACCTAGCCCACACAGGCCATGCTCTGAAATCACTGGGAGATCCCTCAAGACAGTGAAGATCTGTGCTTCAGACTTTCTCTCTCACTGTACATTTTCTTTCTCATCCCTTCAGGTAAAGTGCTGCAAAGCTCTTCCCAATAGTCCATTTTATATATATATATATATTCTTATTATGTGTTAGGGAGTATTGAGCTTTTGCTGGATCAGGACCAGGAACTACAGACCCAGTGCAGACACACCTGAACAGTGTCTGCTCTCCCACCTTTTAGCTGCCATCTCTGGCACATACAGTGACAAAATTAAATTAACTGCAGTGCCTTGAATGAGGAGATAAAAGCTCATTGGGTCAGGGCCTTTACTGATTCTTTGGAGACTTCTCCAGACTAGGCAGGATAATTGAAAGAGAGAGAGACCAGGTCAGCAACAGTGAAGAAGCTGGAAGGTTTGCTTTTGCTTCAGGAGAAAAGCCTTAAGTACTGACACATTTAGAGCATAAGTGGCAGATGGTTTTGTTGGAAAGCTATGAATCCAAATCTATTTGGAGAGTCCTTGTACTACTGGAAAGAAATCACTGAGACTGGCAGAGGAAGGTATAAGGAAACATGGTAGGAATTTAAGGGGGGAAGGGGGTAAATCTATGTTTAAAAGTACGTATGGAAGAAAAATACTGCAATGTTTTTTTGGGAAAAGAGCTGAAAATGGCCACAGCACATTACTGAAAGCAGGGAGAAGCCTCTTCCAGCTTCAGTTTCCATGAGATCTTTGTCCAAGATGTTCTTTCTAGGGATATGTCATTTAAGAGTGGGATATAAGCTCCAACTGCCTGCACTTTCAAGCCAGATTCCTCACACCCCCTTGCCACTTCCCCACCTCTGTCTTGCAGCCCACCCTGCACACGAGCTCTTCCTTCTCATTCCACACCCTCCCAAAACTCTCAGAGGATCAGAGGCTGTGAAAACAGGGAGAGACCAAACGTGGGAGTGCACACAACCAGATCCAGGCAGTGATTCAGCTTGGCCAGTTCACAGTGAGCTGTGTTAGGGGAGGCTGAAGTTTGCTGCCAGAATCCCTCTGGATCCACTTACTGTGCCGCTTGAATTCCTTCTGCAGCTTGCTGATTTGATTGCTCTTTATTCTGCTTCCAGAAAGGGTTTTCATTTTCTTTGGTTTCAGTGTTGTTTTAAGGCTGGGTCCAGCCCTGGCATCTACCACCTAGGACAGAGAAAATGCATGTCTGAGTACTTGTGCATCATGCTGAGGTATTATTGCCCCTGTCCAGACACAGTGAAGGTGTTACAAACCCCCCGAGTTAACCCAAGGCATTTCTGTGCACTGACACTCTCCAGTTTCATTTAAATCTGACTAAATCTCCGCAGGAAAACACAGCAAACTAGTTTAAAAAGCACACTTGGTTCTACTTTTGCTAACTTCCCATTTTAACACATTCAGTTTAGAACCACATAATGGTTTAAGCTAATACAGGTCCAGTTAAGAGTGTCTGCCAAGCATTTGCTCTGTGGGTTTTTGGGGTTTTTCTTAGTAATAAATTTAACTTTTGAGTAAAGCCAGTGGTAGTAATAACCATAGTTATGGCTCCCATTACTATCAAGGCATCCTGGATAAAGATTATTATATACACAAGGAATCCTGATCATCCTCCCAGCCTTAGGCTTGAATTGAATTAGACATATCAAAACAGAATATATGAGTGAAAATAGCTGCAAGATTATTAGTCATTGTAATTGTCTGATTAAATGAGATTGATTAATGTGTTGCTTGAGCAAGTCACTTTGTTTGGGAAAAAGAAAACCCAACAATTTTGGATAAAGGCCAAACTTGATTTGTTTTTTGTTTTGTTCTTAATGTCATAAGACACTTTTGGATGAAGTTATGAGCTTCTGAAAACAAGGAATTACAAGGCAAGTTGGTCTGTGACTGCATTTCAGGCTTGCATAATCACCATTTGCAGGAGTCACACAGTAGTAAATACTGCAGGAAGGATTTAGAGATGCTGAGGGTGGGAAGGAAGAGTGTGGGTGAAACAGCAAACCCCAAACCCCTGCCAGACCTTCCCTCCCTAGAAAAAATAAGTTTTGGGGCAGAAGAGAAAGAAATTACTAACGTGATTCCAGTTTTTTTTGGATCCTGCTGGTAATTTTTTCCATCTTTTCACCAAAAGGACACAGGCATTGCAAATATCTCCCGAGCGAGCCTCGTGGAGCCTGGCAAAAACAAAAGCAAAGATCACTTAACAACAGTTAATAAAAGCACAGCCCCACTTGCTACCAGCAACAAGTATAAAAACTGATGAATAAGAAAGGTTCTGAAATTCTGTTTTTCTGACATTACACTTCATCTGGATTGCTCCAACAGTGCCATTTAAAGACCAGGTCTCACTTTCAGAAAGCACTCTTGCACACAGAAATAAAAAGGTGTCACAATCTGCCTCGAGAGGGGCACTGAACACAACAGTCCCATCACCTGCAGGTTTTGGAATCTTTTCCCCCAAAACCAAGACACAATTGCAGTGGATTGGTTAAGTTTGGGGCAGGAGGAATAATCACGTTATTCAAATGCACACTTGGGAACAAACATCAAAAGTTTGCTCAGGTCTTAACTTTCCCACAGAGCTTCAAGGATGAGCAACAAACATCACCTAACACACTCCCACATGAGCACAGGATAAGATTTCAGAAACAGCACTCACTGGAATGACAGCAATACCTGCTAACAAGCTTTCCTCAGGAACCATCTCTACTGCTAATCCATGCTAAAAGAAATATAACAGGGAAACACTGCAAAACTTTTCAGCCAATAAAACAGAAAGGCTTTGGATCATTTATAGATGAATAAGGCAGGCTCAGAAAACCATTATTTGCCCAGTGGTCAGTCTGCATTTTTACCTCGGCAAACATATTTCAGATAGCACAACAATGATGGACCTGGTAAACTGCAAACTGCTTTGCTGCAGTTAAAAACAACAACCACCAAAAAAAAGAGCAATGGATCTGCACACAGCCTTTGCCTGCCAAGGACAGTAGTGAAGAAATATGATAACGAAAACTGCCAGCACCAGACTTGTGTACAAAAATCCAAGGTAAATACAAAGCACTCTAAAGTTCACTACATGAAGAGTGTTTCTAGAAGAAGTGAGGAAAATTTCTGAATTTTATACAAAATTTCAAAGCTCTTCAAAAGTATCCCAAAAATTTGAAAGCTCACAGTAACTGGTACAAGAAATCTTGAGTATTCATAGCTTTATTTACCAATGCTTTCAAGTAACACTATCTAACTGGAAAGTTAATCACTTTCCAAGAGAATGGTTTTCCAATGAGAAGTTTTAATAACACATTGCTATGTCCTGTTTGAACAAAGACAGCAATACTTGTAACGGGGTACTCTGCATAAACCCTGCTGAAACTGCTAAATATTTACTCATCAAGTTTAATCTAACATTCTTGAATTTTCAGAGCCACAGAAAGCCCCCATGGATGTGTAGAGTTCATTATTTTATGTAGGTGTTTACACACCTAATCTTTCAGAGCAAGACGGACACTACATCAGGTTTGCAGCTCAGAGATCAATGCCAAAACTGCTGACCAAGGTGGGAATCTTACCCAAAACAATTCTGGAAATCCTTTTCATAACGTTTGCTGTCAGTGAAGCGAGAACTGGAAGACTTAGCCCTGCAAATACAGCAGCCCTCTATACTCCGGTACATCTTCGGTTTGTGAAAGCCAAACATCTTTTCCTCCCAGCTGTGCCCTGTGAAAACAAACAGAAACTGGTGTTAATTATCACTGTTAGATAATGAAAGAAAGAAAAAAAAACTATGCTAGATTAGGGCATAGTTTTTTTATCAAATGTGTCTTCAGAAGAACAGATGCACCTAGAATGTGGTTGTTAAGAAAATTATATAATTAACAGCTGGAATATTAAGCAATACCCAGCAGGACCTATAATGAGCTCATTTACTGCAGAAATGTACTCCAAAGGCACATGCAGAGGCAGCACAACCCAGATGTGAATGCAGCCCAGCTGGCCACTGAGGGCCCTGTGCAGGTGGCAGGACAGGCTGCAATGTGTCCAAGCCATGGGTAAGGAGCTGGCACTCAACTCAGGGTCACTGAACTACTTCATCACCGGTGCTGGATGGAAACACCCCTGGCAAACTCTGCTCTGAGAGTGAGTAGGAGTCGTTTTAAATGAGCTGCAGTCATACCCCCGGGCTGTAGGGCAGACATACCTGAAAAGCTGCTCTAAAAACAGCAGGGTGGAGCCGCAGCCAGCCCTCAATGGCCCTGTCTGCACTGCAGCACCCGGGAGCACCTCTCTGTTCTCAGGGCCTGGGTGAGCATCCCAGCTCCATGTCAGCACATGCTCTGCTCTCCTGCCTTCCCCACCCTGCTTTCCATGGGAAGGAAACCGAGCTGGGAAAGAAAGGCCAGGGAGCAGGACCCTGGGGCACATCTCAGCATGTGCCTACCACACATGCCCTGCCAAAAGGATGGAAAACTCCAGTCACAGGGAGGCTGTTGCTTTGAAACCACCAGCTCTGCGCACTTGGTGCCAGCCCAGAAAGCTGAGAATGCCCTCCTGATCCTGCTCTGTTCTTTTCAGTACACCAAGGCTGGGATTTGCTATCAGAGCAGGTATCATACACTGAAGCCATTTTCCAGCAGAAACTTCTCAAGTTAGTCACTGCAGCCACCATGACCCCCCACCAAACCAGCTCTCCCCTATGTTGGTTGTTCCCCAGTGCAGACCCTGCCAGGCGCAGTCTGACACAGCACGAACACAGAGCAAACAGGGCTCCTACAGCGCCCCAAAAACCCAAACCAGCAACCGAGCAAAGCTGCTGCTCCGCTGGCACTGGGCCTGGACACACAGCAAGTCCTCACAGGCCACACAGCATCATCCCATAATGCAGGCAGGGGCTGTTCCAAGATGTTCTCCTTTGAACAGAGCCTGGTGCAAGCTTTGCCTCCACCACCTGCTGCAAGGGGTGAGCAGCCACCTCTGGTGTTCCCCACACACCAAGGGCTCAGAGAGGGCACAGGCTGCAGGAAGCTCCAGGAGAAGAGGTTCCCACTGCTTTAAAAAAATTAAAATTGGATGGAGCCATGCAAATAACATAACATTTCCCTCTCTTTCCTTAACAAAGGCCAAGCTGCTGAATTCATTAAGAAGCTAACAAAAAAAAAAAAAAGACCCAAAAACCTGAATGACCCAGCAGCTCAGGAGAGGAGCAACTGTGGTGAGAGGGAACTCTCAGTCACTTCTCAGTCTCAGGTAGTACCAAGTCCCAGTAACCCAACTCAGTTACTGGTTAACATTTGTGCCATAGGCATATGTCCCCAAATCTTCCACCTTCAGAAAGGTAAGGGCTGTAATCCTTTTACCCTCCAGTGGTACGGAGAAAAATCATCTGAAATCTTGTGCCTACACTGCCAGGACTTGCCACATCATTATGGCAATAAAATATTTTGAAAGACAGGTTCAGGTGAGTTCAGAAACATGCTTCCACAAAACGATCATACCCAGCATGACCATGTCAGTCACTCACCTGACTGACAGGGGGATGCTGTGCAACAGGAAAAGATCCTGCACACGTCTGTGGGACCACAGCAAAAGCTGGGGAACCACCCAGGCCCAGTCCTGTGCAGAGGTGAAAATACATCCCTCACCTCAGGGGGGAAGATCAAGAGTAAAGGAGCACAGCAAAATTAACATGCAGTTTTCCAGACTCTTTAGAACAAGAGTAAAGTAAAAATTGTATCCAATATTGTTGCCTAATACTCTGACACAAAATCCACCAAGGAACCTGTTTCCAGCTGAAAGTGTGCATGTTTGCATTTCAGTTCAGCACACAGAGACCACTTGGGGCTCACTGAGGTCGTGGCTCTTTGCAATTACTACTGCACCAACATTCAGGAAGACTCAACTCTCCATAAAGCTTGTCTTGACTTGTAGAGCCTGTGGATGGCAAGGCACTTGCTCAAGCTGAATGCCAAGGAGATCCTGCAGGCCTAGGGGAGAGATGGAGAGGATAAATTCTTCCTTCCTTCCTTCCCTCCTGTCCCAGCTCATGCTGTCTTCCACAGGCTTGAAGTGCTGAATTCCTTTCTTCACATTTACAGCACAGGGAGCTCACCCAGGGTTACATTCTCCCCAGGTTAACTTGTACAAATATCCAGCAAAGTCACCCCAAAAGGTGGCAGGCTTTTTAGGAGATTCACTGCTCCCTGTATTGGTACAGCAATGGCCTGAAGGCCAGGAGTAGATCTGGTAAGTAGAAGAAGATATCCAAGTAGTGACCTGTTGAATGGACTCATGGAGGGATGGTCACTCTCAGAACTACTTCAGCCTCTGCTGGATGTGCAGCAAATGAATGCACAGCCAAAGCAGGCAAATATTCCTGGCTTGTCAAGAAAATAAACAACAGAGTATCTAGGCAAACACTCAGAGTATTTAGTTTCTTAGCACCCGATGTGCTTCTTTGGGAGATACTCTTGAGGACATTGCCCAACAAGCCTCTGGAGATCCAACAGCACGCTCACCTGGGAATTTTCAACTTCCAAACAGCAATTTTAGATGTTGTTTGACTACTCCAATGTTAAATCTGTGGTCTGGTACTTTCCTTTAGAAAGTCAAAGACTAATTGCAGATACAAAGTTCACCTGTGCTGCCAAACGTAAGCAGCAAGAAAATCTTGACTGCCAAATGGCAAGAAACAACTATCAACAAGGCAGTTTACCTTCTAACCAAGTTTCTTCTAGGAATCCAGCAGTGATAAGATGATCTCTGTCACCAGCTGGTATTTACACCAGTGTAGAATAAGATGCATGTTTTACAATCAATGTTCTGGCAAAGACTGGAAAACACTTATATTCTGAAAATATTTTGCCTTGCATCATTGCTGCCATTCTCACAGGAGCAGCCTTTCATCACCATCCCTCAATAGAAGGGAAACTAGTGCCATCTGTTTCCCACTTGATGAATGGTCAGCAATGGCATTACCACACATCATGCCTGAATGGGGAAGAGCTAGCAGCAAAACCACAAGTTAAACAGATTTCTCTGACAACTGCATCCAAGTGCAGTTATAAATGGAAGGCGTCAGTCCAGTTACACATTTAATCCTAAACAGTTGCCATTTGACCATTATACACTAAATTTTCTGTCAGCTGGAGAGCTTAATAGATAATATGGACTTAGAAGTAAATATGACTGTGCCATTTAAAAGGTTTAACTTGAAGGCTTTGCAATTTAGATATTGAATTAGAAGCAGGCAGTTAGGATGCCAGCTGCCCTAACACCTGAATTTTGGCTGTGCAACTACAACCATGCAAAATTTGGGACAGATAAAAAAGATGGCAAGTAGAAATGAAGTAACTTGCCTAGAAGTTAAAAAGCATTGCACAACATAATTCTGATAAAGCTAAGCATGCCATTAATGCTATTTAACTTTGTTATTATTTGCCAAATTTAAGCATGTTATTAAAATGTATCAGCAGTTGCACAGAAGAGAAAGGGAGAGATCTCAAAAAAAGAATCAGAAATCTTAGCAGAGCGTTATCTGTCATTCTGCAGAAATGAAGACTTACCTGCACTAGTGAGAAAGCAACATTCCCCCAAGCCAGGATAAAAGTGATGCTTTTCCCTCCCTGGTGTCCCTCTCCACAGCTTCTCCTTGCAGAAGTTGCTATTCCCTCAAGTTCTGCTTTATACAACTGCTTTAGCAACATGAATGGACTCAGAAAAGTCCCCAGGAAAATGCTCTTGCCATTATTCTGCCCTCTCACTTTCGAAAAAGCAGCATCAAAAATAGAAACTTTTCTTGCAAAAGAGATCAGTAAAGTCCGGAAGAGAAAAAGTAGTGGGAAATTTAAAAAAAAAAAATCCCCACACCCTGCTCATTACCTTTGTGAAAGGCTGGTACAAAGAAGCATGTGTGTGAAAATGGTTTCATATTTTTGTTACCTGTCAGGACTAGAATTTGGTGCTTAATTTTCTTTGCAAAATTTAATTTGATGATCTAAATTAAAAGGAGGCATTGCTTCAGATGCTCATTAAGTTTTCAAGTTAGGGAAGAACTTCTGAACTCTTTCAGATCTCAAAGTAAGCTGAGCCACTTTCATTCGCTTTTCCAGATTCCTTCTGCATTCTTTCTGATCACCCAAGAAGAATGAAAACCTTTTATAATAGGAAGGATGGAATTCCTAGAAGACAGGCATGTCTCCCTTTGTAACACAATTACCAGGCCAGTGGGAACGAACACGCTCACCTGCTTCTTGCAAAGCCTAACGAGAAACATTCCCTGGAGTTACACCCAAACACAGTATCAGCATCCTCCTCTCCTCCCATCTCCCCTCTCTGACCAGGGATCGCTCACCCTCTGTGCAGCCCAGAAATGCCAGCACCTCTGCCAGAGAGGAGAACAAGGATTTGATTTCCCTTTTTGTGTCCACAACAGCCTTGGCACAGCCCCCCCGAAGCTGGGCTAGAGAAAAACACCATCTACCTACATATGTGGATGCAGCCGGTTCCTGTCAAAGTAAAACTCTCACAAATTGTCATCCCTACAGCATTTCACTGGAACTAAGAAACACAGCCAAAATTGCACCTATTTTTTTTTCCTTTCTTTTAAAGGGAACTAAACAGATGCCTTAATATAGAAAGAATATAAGTGCTCTGGCTTTTGCCTCTGCAGGAGCATACATCCAGGCACATGCACACACATGAAAAATGCTTCCAGAGCTGTCCACGGCGCCACAGGCAGAGTCACTCATCTCACAACAAATTCTGGAGCCTGTCCCTCTGCTGAAATAAACTGCAGTACCTCTACTGCAAATCAAGTGCAAGACAGAGAACTGTACATCAGCAGAGGAACTGATCTGTATCAGAGCCTCAACATAAACATACCTCCCCTGAGTTCACAGGCTGCTGCAAAAAACCCTTGGAAGAGAAGTTAAGTTTGGATCCCTCAAAAAAAAAAAAGAGAATATTTTAACATGCACAGAGCCAGAATGCTCCAAGGATTGTAAGAAACCAATCTATTTAGAGTCATCTGAAAATGCAACTTCAGTATCTGCAAAAATATTTTTTACTGTCATCTCTCCCTATAGTTTAAAACAGAGGCAATAATAACCAACAACCATAACCTTGGAACTGTGCATATTGTACACACTTCTGGCCCCCTATATCTTCAGATTTTCCTTGCACTTTCCTTCCCCTCTCCACTCAGAACAACTTTACTTGGAGGAAAGCTGCATTTACCAGGAACATCTGAATGTCACAGCATGCTTTCCCTTGGTGAGTTCAGCAAAACCAGAAAAGGTCAAAACCACATCTTCAGGAATCCCTCCCCTGACAAAATAAGAAGTCACTCTTTTGCTGGTAGATGCCCACAGCTACTGTGGTAAATGAAATCTCAGCACAGCCAGTGCACCTAGCAGCATGCATACTAAGCATGTATCAAAAATCAAATTGGACACTTCTTTCCCATGTCTGAGTCTCCGTGGCATCCTAGCTGGATCCCAAGCTGTTCCTGGTTCCATTTGCAGCAGCAGTCAAGCCATAAAGAAGCATACTCACTTGTTGGATCTTCCCTGGGAAGGAAGTTCCTAACTCATTTAGAGAACTGAGAGGCTGAGCCACGTGGGTGCTCCTCTGAGCTGCCATGTGGTTCGTGCTCCACAAGGGATAGGCCAAAGCATGAAAACAATAATCAGCAAGATTTGCATAAGGGGGAAAAAAATTCCAAACCTGTCCCACCTGCAGACATTGCACCTTGAAAGATGACTTCCCCCTGCCTGAAACTCCTGTTGCATAACTCACACCACGCTCAGCCTGAGCCCAGCAGGGAAAACTGGGATGTTCTCAGACTTGTGCTGGAGTTCAGGCTGAGATGCTTATCTGGGTGCAGCCACCACAGCTGTGATGGTGCTGTCTGCCAGCACCTGCTACTGAAAAAGCATCACAGCCACTCCGGATCATGAGACACCGAACAGCTTTTTTTGGCTAGGTTCTTTTATGTTGTTTTTAAAAGGGATAACATACCTGGATAGGGACTTAAACAGAAGGAGCAGTAATTACTTGGCAGAACAACTGTAGTGACTTCATTAAAGAGGATACTTTTCCGTGTCCTTAAGCAGTATTACTGGTCATTTCACTTGGACTTTGGACTGAGCACATTCTACAGAAATGCAAAGGCTTGAGTTGTGAAATGGAGCCCTGCCTGGGCAATTTTCAAGTCCCAGCTCACTGGCAACTTCTTTGTGTTAAAAAGCAAGTGCTACAGAGGGTGCAAGAATGAAGCTGATTGTCAAGTAGGACCAGGTGGATGTCGTTCATGTCATTATGAGGGAGGTACAAGAAATGAGGTGTTAAGAATCAATGCAAAGCAGAGTTAGGTAACACAGAAAGAGCTGTTCAGCACGAGTGAGACAAGAAACCGTCACAGTTTAAACTTTATTTTTAGCCCCTCTGAATTTATCAGCTTATTTAACGTCTTCTACAAAGAAGTCACTGATATTTTCTTATTAAAGGAAGACTGAATACATCGGCAATTAGCTTTTTTAGAGAATGAAGTGAAGAGGAATTTTCCCAGAGGCTCTGGCACTCAATCCCACCTACTTTCAGTGGGAGCTGGGTGTTGCATGCCCGTGGGTGTGTTTGAAAATCCCGACTTGCTACTTGCTGCTTTTTTACCAGGTACCACGGATCCCAGGAAAACTAGAGGTCACCTGGGTACCAAAGGAGCTGAGTGTCCACTGGTATCAGCAGAAAGGGACAGACAGCGAACTGGAAACCTATGGCACAGAGCTTGAGCAATCTGTAATTTTAAAAAGCTGCAAACTACACAGTGGATCTGCCTGCCTGCAGGCTGGTGAGAAGGGGGTGCACACACCCTCTCACACGGCTGCCAGGAGCAGCCTCAGCTTTGGAAGCAAGCAGGAAAGGAGTTTGCTGAGGAACCATCACTCTCACCGACTGCCTGTCCAAAGAGCACAACACTCGCGTGTGGCAGCCTGCCACCTTCCTAGGCGCCAAATCAAAGTAAAAAGGAGCATCGCAGGCTGTGTTCAAGCACAGCCGCTGCTATTGGAGCTGTGGGCTCAGGGCAGGACGCTGGGCCCTCTCCTGCCGCTCCCCAGCCACGGCGGCAGCGCAGACACGTGTTGGGGCACGGCAGCATCCCGCATCCCTGCCCGCACAGCCAGGGCGCGCAAGTTTCTGCAATTGTGATGTTAATTGAATAATTCAGGTCCGAAGAACGGGCCATCGGTCGGGGACGAGGCTCTTTGTAGGATGAACCGGGGTTGTTCCCGCCGGGAGAGCGCCGCTGGGGGGGCCGGGACGGGCGGGATCCAGCCCCGCTCGCTGCGTAAACAACAGGTCTGGCAGGTCCCTTTAAACCCCCTCAGCATCCGGACAGGGGCCACGGGAGCACAAGGCAACTTTTATGTCTGTAAAGTGAGAGCGCCACGCGGAGCGCTTTCCTGGCGCAACACGGCGACTTTAAAACAAAACAAAACCCCACCAAACCCTAAATAACAACGGTGAAAAACGCCCCAAAAAGGCAGAGCTCGGGCCGCCGCGTGGCCCCGGGCACGGCCAC